ATGGTAAGAGTGTGAAGGTTGTGAATATTTTTTAAAGTAAAGCTAATAGGCTTTACTGATATTCTGCTGGTGCTGTGTAAGAGAAATGGAGGAGTCATGGATGATGGTGTTAGCTTACTTCTTCACAATGCATGAACTAGAAGCATCAGGTAGTGGTTTTTGTTTTTCTTTAAATAGGGTCTTTTTTTTTTTTTAAAGATTTATTTTTATTTATTTATACATGCACTGGGTACAGTCAGAAGCGCGGGAGGGTGAGAGAATTCACCAGAGCCAGAGTGGGGAGCAGAGCAGGCAGAAGGACAGAAGTACACTGCTGAGGGGAGCAGTGGGCGGCAGGAGAGGTCTGCGCACCATGTGGGACCCTCCTCCGGTGGCCGGGGAGCAGCCGGGGATCGAACCAGCGCTGCAGAGGCCGCAGGCAGCTTCGCAACCCAGCGCTCAACCGCTGCGCCACCGGGGAGGCCCTTAAATAGGGTCTTAATGTGCTTATTCTTTCGTTAGTTATTAGTGAGCACTATTTTTTGTTTATTGTTTATTCCATAATCATAAACTTTTTTTTAAAGATTTATTTATTTATGCATACAAGAGCTGAGGAACAGGCCAGAGATGTGGGAGGGAGGGTAAAAGGATTCACCAGAGACAGAGTGAGAAACAGAACAGGAAGACTGACTGAAATATACTGCTGAGGGGAGCAGCAGGCAAGGCAGGAGAGGTCTGCTGCGCCATGTGGGTTGTTCCCTGGCTGGCCGGGGATCGAACTCGTGCTGCAGAGGCTGGGGATTGCTTCATAGTGTGGTGCTTAACCCCTTGCACCACCAGGGAGGCCCCATAATCATAAACTTAACTCTTTAATCCATTTATCTTGGAAGGGGATAAGGAAAATATAGAATATCTTGAGCAGATGGAATGGGGGGGGGGTGCTCTCCCGAAGAAATAATCTGCTCTACAGAAGAAATGATCTGGTCATTAAGAAATCAAATGTATTAGACTTGTCCACAGGCAGCAGTGGTGATTTTGTTTGTCTTGCCATTCCTAGGCCCAAAGCCTCTGTGACGTCTACAATATTCATGCCCTCCTTCACCTTGCCAGAGACCAGATGTTGTCCACCCAATCACTCAGGCTTGGCAGTGCAGGGAAAAACTGGGAACCATTCATGTTGGGTCCAGCATTTGCCATCAACAAGATTCTGGGATCTGTATACTTCAGGATAAAATTCTCATCATCAAATTTCTCACTGTAAATGGACTTGCCACCAGAGCCAGTATAGTGTGTGAAGTCGCCACCCTGGCATATAAAACTTGGAATAATTCTGTAAAGCAGGAACCATTATAAGCAAATCCTTTCTCCCCAGTGCTCAGAGCATGCAAGTTTTCTGCTGTTGCTAGAAGTTTGTTTGCAAATAGCTTGAAGGAAATGAAGCCCAAGGGCTTGCCATTGACAGTGTTGACAACATAGGGGATTCACATGGCTGCTCAGTGTGGGAGGTCTTGCGGAGGTGGTGTCTGCAAAGTTGATAGTCATTTCTAAGCATATCAAGAGCCATTCCAAGTCAACAAATATAGAGGTGTTTTTGTTAATTAATTTTTTAAAATTGAAGTAACATTGGTTTAACACAATATCAATAATTCAGAAGTTTAGGGTCACACCTCCTCAGATGTATGTTACCTCACCACAACCACCTCCAAGGCACCCATAATCTTCATCATAGTGCATTGAGACTCACCACACTTTGCTCTTCACCATGGCGGTCCCCTTTTGCTAGCCTTAATTCTGTATTTCTGGGGCTTGTTAATGATTTGGTTCCATCTGACCCTTTGTTTAGTTTCTCTATATTCCACATATGAGAAAAACCATCTAGTATTTGTCTTCCTCCTTCTGACTTATATTACTTTGCAAAATCCCCTCCAGTTGCATACATATTGTCAAAAATGGCAAGATTTCACCTTTTTTAAAAAATAGTTGCATAGTATTCCATTGCATATACATATCACATGTTCCTAAGCTATTCATTGGATGCTTTCTTTGTTTCCATAACTTGGCTGTTGTAAATAGTGCTACAACAAACGTAGGAGTGCATACATCCCTCTCAATTAGTGTCTCTGCATTCTCTGAGTAGACATCTAGTAGTGGGACTACTGGATCAGATGGTAGATCTATTTTTAACATTCCCAACAGTATATAAAGGTTCCTTTTTCTCCATTTCCTCCCAAACACTTACTGTTTTGGTCTTTTTGATATGGGCCATTCTCAAAAGTATGAGATGGTATCACATTGTGGTTTTGATTTTCATTTTCCTCATGTTAAGTGATGATGAGCATTTTTTTTTAATGTACCTGTTGGTCATATCTGTGTCTTCTTTGTAGAAATGTATTTAGTTTTATTTAGTTTTTCTGCCCACTTTTTGATTTTTTTTATTGAATTGTATGAATTCTTCATAGATATCAAAGATATCTTGAATATCAGTCTCTTGTCAGATATGTGGTATGCAATATTCCCCTCTCAATAGAGCATCTTTTTTTCAGTGATGGTTTCTTTCGCTGTGCAGAAGTTTTCAGTTTGATGCATCCCATTTGTTTATATTCTCTTTTGAGAAATATTATTTTTAACAATAGTACATATTATGTAGCAATGCCATGAGTGAGTTAATAAATCCACTATTAATAGTCATTATGTTATTTTTATGTTCTTCTGATAGTGAACTTTGAAACAAGTGATCTCATGGCTATGGAAGACTCTTGTCTATCAATTGAATCTGCTCTTTTGTTAATATCCTGTACTAGTCTGTTTTACACTGTCTAGTTATTTTAGAATCTAATTTTTAAATATTATTTTCAAAGTAATATGTTCCTCTTTTAAAGAATATATATTACAAGATTTTAAATGAGGCTTTTCTTGTCACCAAGTTTCAGTCCAACTGTGAAGGGAATACTGAGAGAATATGAAAACCATTTTTGAGTTCCTTAGTTCACCACCCACCTAGAGGGCACATCAGGGGAAATAGAGGTGGAAGCAAGAAGCTTGAGAGGATTTTTTTAAAAGAGTGAAAATTTAGAAACCTGCTCCTGGATGAAGGGAAGACCAAGCAGGGGGGTTTCTCAAGAACCCCTAATTTTGTGTCTTCTAGAGTTTATGGACTCAGAGAAAGATCTGACTGATGCCTGGAAAAGTCCACAGGCATCTACTTGCTGATGCAGGCAGGACCCCAAAGGGCTATGGTGGAAGTGGGAGGCTCTCTAGCAGTGACATTGCCGGGGTACATGGTTACTGCAATGAACTATTAGACCTAGTAAGAGGGTTTAGCAAGGTTGTTGGATATTAGATGTAAATCTATACCACTTGCACTAGTGATCAATGATAATATTTTAGAGCAGTTAAAATGGATGAAGTAAATCTCTATGTATCAATATGGCACATTTCAAAAAAATTAAGTTGTAGAATGATAATGTAGAGTGATACATTTACATAAAACAGTATATTTTGGGCATATATTTTAAGAGCATAACAAATGCTATGGAAGGGGGAGGAAGAAAGGAGAATGTGATCAAGACCTTTAACTTTTGGGCAATTTTTAAATTATCTCATATGTTACAAGTATGGCAGATGGAGGTTTTAAAGAGCTGGGCAGTGGCATCCTTGGTATATTCATCAAGGATCTTGGCCATGGGTAGCTAGATCACATGCTAGCTGGTTTGAGTACAATAGATCTGTTACAGTCAGAGTTTTCTAATAATAAGGTACAAATGTTGGTTTCTTAGCCTTGAGAAAGGGCATGGTTATATAAGATGTTAACATTAGGGGACGGTGGGTGGGGAATACTCAGGACACACTAGAGTATCTTTTCAATTTTTCTATAAATGTAGACGTATTCCTGTACTTTTTGTGGCTAAAACTAAATTTATTCAAAATAATTAGTAGCCACCCATCCCCCTTATGTTAAGTTCCTGAAATCTTAGCATGACGAGCTTTCTTTCTCCAGCTAGACTAAACGTAATTTCTCCAGTGAGAGAAGACTTTTCCTTGCTTTCAAGTACTCAGTGTCTGAAAATTAATGAATATTAGTTTCCAGATCAAAAGACTGACTTTTGGGTCAGTTTTTGGAGATTGATAGATCTTTGCAATGTTAAAGCTGATGTGGGTTTTCAGTGGGATTCGGATGGCCTAGGAACAACGTCAGCTGTGTGCTACATTATTTCCCTATGTTCTCCCTTAGCCTCATCTGCCCTTTCAGGCTGCTATCCTTAAAATTCTACAATTCCCTCTCCAAGCTGTGGAGACCATATACCTATAATATGAACAGGAGAAGAAAGGGGTCTCTTCCCAACTTCACAACTGCATTCTTCCTACTCTGCCCCATCCCACCTTCTACAACACACTTGTGGGCAATTTAATAGTGGGTTTTGGAAACAACGCTGCCTCCCTTTAAGGAGGAATTAATCCAATGGCAGGAATTTCAAGCCAGGTAAGAGGAGCCATGTCAGGCTACCAGATGGTGGGGGAGATAGGCATGGGTGAGCAGGCTTCAGACTACAGCACGGTAGAGGGGATCAAGTGTTATAATCACATTCGAGAAAAGGAGTCAAGTGAACCCCATTACACACAATAGAGCCCTATTATAATATCCAGTATAATTACTTGGACTTAGATTTAACCTGGGGCAAATCCTTTTCTTAATGCTTCTTCCATCCCACCCTCATGTCATATCCATTTCCCTTCTAAGTCACCACTCTTAAAGTAATGATAATATGAAGTAGCTATTGCTAATTATTTTCCCTAGTTTTTCAGATGAGCAAGCTCATTCCCAGGGTCATATGCAACTGATCTGGGTCTTTCTGGCTCCAAAACACTTGTGCTACTCTCTTGCAAGTACTGTACCTAGGGTGACTTGCTCTAAACTCCATATTTCTCAGTGGAGGTTATTAACACAGTAGGTCTTAGAGAAGGTATAGTGGAAAATTCGAATCTGAATCTCAAGTAGTTGTGCAGTAAAAAGCTGGCAGAGGGTAAATGAAGTGGGGACTCCAGGAGATGTGTCTGTTTTACTACGGTGTTTTGGTGATGATGGAAGCTTTATTGCCATAGTCGTCTGGGAACATGGTTTGAAAGATCCCCTGCTGCCCCCCAACACCGCTTTCCTTCCCATATTCTGAAATGATAGATGGAAGAATTTAATACATTTAATGTTTTTCCTTCCATTTACACTATCATAAATTACAAAGTATTGTTCACTTCACAAAATAAAACCATTTCCAGATATTTTTTGACAGTATCAAGAAGTACATAAGCTACAACATCAAATCTGTACAGTTGGGAGGAACAATAGCAGGGACCAAATAGAAGCATGTTGACTCTGTGCCCTGATGGCTTCCATCCACATGGCCTGTGGCTCTTTCCAAAACAGCAATTGCACTGCACTCCTCCTCCTGCTCACTGCCACACAGCAGTCCTCTTCTGATCACCCCAAAACAAGACTTGTGAGGGACTACATAAATCATCTCAATCAGAGGAAAAGACATTATAGTTGGATTTCAGAAAAAAAATCCAGATTTACAATTTTTGATGTTTTGAGTATTTAACCTATGTTACAAAATATAGAAATCTTGGTGGAAAAGCTCATGCTAAGAGATAAATATAATCAATAAGATGGAACTATAATAATAAAATCATATGAAATCATTACCTATACAGTGCTGCTTTTATCAAGGAGGAACAAATATTTATAACAAGCAAACTTTTTCATTCTCACTTTTAAAAATAGGCTTGTTTATAAAACAAAAATGAAAAAAATCAACAATTATTCTGCAGATTTACTTTCCATAAATACAGAAATGGAGCAAAAGCACAACTTGCCACTAATAGAGGAATTCCAAATGCTTGTCTGAAAAGAAACAAGGAAAAGTGCTAACTTTTTACACGGCCCAGATATAACCAGTGTTCCTAAATCATTTTATGTAAAATGACCACATTCTTCATGTTCTGGGATATACATATAAGATATGGAAAGACTATGGCCAGTTCCGAAGCATACTTTCGGATTTCACAAAATTTTCATGGAAAGAAATTTATGGATGTTTCAGACCATCTTATAATTGCTATAGATACATGTCACATGATAGCAAAATGCCAGTGCTTAACAGCAAAAACTATCAAAAGCATAGATACAGTGGCAGGTGAAATTTCATTGAGAAGCACTGACAAGGACGGAGGTATGTCAAGATAATACTGCATTCGTGGTAAACTTTTTCAGGGCATCACAGCAAGAACGGGGACAAGGTACACATGTAATAGTCAATGCTCTGCATTGAGTTCTATTGGCTAAAATAAAGTAACATTCTTGAAGCTAAAATAAAAATACATTTTACAATAGAAGTTTCATTAAACATTTTAACATATAGAATTGTCTTCTTTCTGTAAGTGAAAATTGTATAATTATATCAAGTACCTCTAAGAATTAAATTCCATTTTATTACTGATAAGACTGAAGTTTAAAGGTCTACATTGTGTTTTAATAAGTTAAAGAAAGACGTATTAATCACTCTTCCAGCAAAACAGACACACATTGGAGGCACGCAGGGACCAGACGAGGGGTTTTTCCAACCCTCATGCCTGCTGTTCTCTGTGGAGAAGGCCAGTGTCTATGAGACACAGTAGCCGACTTGGCCATCCTCTAGGTCCACAAGGTTCTGTTACTTGTTTGAAAAACAAATCAAGCTTAAGAAATGTTTTTATTCCTTTAGCCTTATCAACTTAGACTGGACTGGAGCCATCCAGCTCATTTCCCTGGTAGATTAAAACAAAACATCTTCATTTTCTATTAAAATCTGTACAATCAGCTTTTGGTACCGCATGTCATGGAGGGTGGTGAGGGTGCTGTCTTCAGGGGGCCTCATCAGGGTGGGCCCAAACACGATGCCCAGATTTTCAGCATTCATGAAATTGTCCTTTTCATTCATAGTCACCCTGCACAACAAACACAGACACAGATATTACGTAGATTTGGGAATGAATTCATATAGTGATTATGTACTTATGCTCCTAAGTATGTCTCTGGCTTGGGACATTGCAAAAGAAAAGTGAGAATGGGAATAGCAGAAAGTTATTTTTTCTTTTTTATATTTAATATATTTTATTTTATATGTTTATTACATCATTTTTCATTTTTGTACAATGTATGCATTTTCATTTTGGTTATATTCCCTATGCAAATTGCACCCCCCTTATTTTGACCCTAATCCCTCCTCTCCTCTGCCCCCTTACCCCATCCCAGTAGTGTGTCACTGGTTTATTGTTGCTTGTTGATTTTTTTTTCCTTTATTATAATTAGTCTTTTTCCTGGTCCCTTATTTGGGTTTTCTAAATTCCTGCTATGAGTGAGACCATCCAGAAAGTTATTTTCTTAAAGATTATTTTATGATTTTTCTTTTTAGATTGGTGGCATTGCCTTTAACCAGAACTGAATCACTAGGTAAATGTGGTACAGACACACTCCTTAAAATGAGAAAATTAGTCCCTCTTACCAAAACAAACATAGAACTGTCATCTCAGGAATGTGGGTTTGAAGGGGCCATGGTGGGTACAGACTTGAGTCTCGGTTTGGATAAAGGTCTATTCCCCTACTTGCAGTTTCCTACAGCTGTGTGTGCTGGCAAGCAGGGAAGCTGGTTAGGATAGGGCTGCCAAGACTTTAGGAGTAGCCAGGCCATTATCATGGGACAGGGAAATAGTTGGAATGTAGCCAAATGGGAAAGCAGTGAGACATTATTTCTAGTTCCCATAGGGTGAGAGTTGGAGCAATAATTATTGTTGACCTCAAAAATCACCATTTCAACATTCAGATAAGAACTATCTGCCTTAATGAATGAAATTCACTCTCTAAATTTAGCTTAATACCTTCCTAATGGAATAAAACTACAATCTCCCATATCTGTACTCTAAGGCATTTAGGATGTTTATAATAGATCAAAGAGGAAGAAGGCTTTCCAAAGAAGGGCAAAATACATAATTAAAATATGTTTGGGTTTTGCAAGGAAGGCCAACTCTTCATGTCTATTCTCAGAGCTAATTAAGATTAATCATTTGATATTGTGTTAGAAAGGTCAGTTCAGTATGTATTATTTTCATACTGCAAAGCTTAAAGGGAAGTAGGAAAAGAGGTATTCTTCACTCTTCCCTCTCTACCTGTTAAGTCAGACACTATACCTGACCAAACAAGATGACTAGGAAACCCACCATAATAATAAAAATACTAAGTTACTGGCATTATAAAATTCAGCTGGGTTGTGTCAGCATTTTTCTAATAATGGAACATTGCTTTCCACATTAAAATAATTGAACATTGATCACAATGAAAGAAATTATTTGCAGTTAATTAAAAGCCAGGTTTGAAATTCATAGACTATTCCTTATCCAAAAATTTACTGGTACTCTTAAATTCAATAGATAAATCAAAATGAGAATCTTGTGTGTGTTACCTCTTTAATCACCCTTAACATATGCAATAGTATTAAGTTTTAAGAGGTAGAAAAATAGGAATCTTCACCTCATGTTTACATAGTATTTTCAATTTGCCTCTTTTCACTACTGAATGGGGCTATAAGTTGGTTGATGTAGGCAATTTTTGGTTTGTTTTATCTAAGAATGGATTGTTAACCTATATCCTCCAAAAACAGATGATCCCTCCAACATTTCAAAGACCTACTCATTGATCTCATGATGCAGGAAAGAGAAGGAAAGAGATCCTCAGGTTAGGAGGGAGGATCTGGAACCAGAGACTCTAGTGTCCTGCAAACAAACAAATGTCTCCATCTGTCTCACAGGCTCTCACACAGGGTGCAGCCCTTGGTGTAGACTCCTAGTGACTTCTGCCTCCTGGACTTGACGTCCTGTGCCATCCTGTGCCCCTAGAGAATGGGCTGGGACTATGATTTATTTCTAACAAATAGGATACAGCAAAAGTAGTGGATGTCATTTCAAGCTGAGGTTACAGAAGGACTATGCATTTCATCTTCAGTGCTCTTGCACGTTTGCTCTGAGGGCAGCCAGCTGTGACTTTGTGAGCTGCCTTTGGAGAGAACCACATGACAGGGAACTGAGGGTGGATTCCAGCAAACAGTCAACAAGAAAGTGAGTCCTTAATGCGGTGGATTCTGAGTAACTGAATCCTGCCAACAACCATGTGAGTGAGTTGGAGCGGATATACCCTAGTTGAGCTTTTAGATGAGATGGCAGCCTGGCTGACAGCTTGACGGCAACCTCCTTCCAGGCCTTGAACCAGGCACCTAGCTAAGCCACACCTGGATTTCTGACCACAGAGATTATGAGATAACAAATGTTTATTGTTTTAAGCCACTCTGCTTTGGGGCAATTTGTTACTTAGTGATAAATAGCTAATCTATTAAAACAATAGATTAGGGTGGGAATCCGCTCATCCAGAATGCAAGCAGGCTCAGGAGTGGGAATGGAGGGTACAGGAGAAATAACAGAAACCAGAGTACAGGGCTTGTATGGAAGAAAGATGCATATGCAGGGGTGGTGCAGACAGTTGGTTAATCAGAGTGTGGGCTCTAGATCCGATGGCCCTGGTTTCAGTCCTGGCTCCACTTTACCTCTTATCATCAGTTGTTCAACCTCTCTAGACACCAGCACTCTCCTCTGGTCATGAGGTCCCTAATAATACCCACTTCACAGGGATAACACATGTAAGTATGTAGAGCGGCTCCTTGTACAGTGTGAAGGTTTTTAGCAAGTATGAATGGAGCCGACCAGGGCCAGGAGCGCAGATCACCCTAGGGGAATATCTGCCCACGCAGATAAGGGTTTGTGAGGAGGCATCAGCTTACTTCTTGAGGTGGATCATTAGGTACCGAAGGGTCTCATAATGGGCCGGAGGCAGCAGCATCAGCACGTCATGGACGGCTTCCAGCCTCTCGTCTGCATTGGTGATTTCTGTGGAGATCACACATAATGAACATCAGTGCAGTGTCCTGACATTAAAGTTTTTAGAGAAGTAATGAGAAGTTTGATCTGTTTTGGCTATATGAAGGGGCAGTTTAATAAATTCGCGCCATTTCAGGTAACATTTTCTTGAAAGTAATCAGTTGGGTCCTCTCCTGCCTCTTTCCAGAAAAGGGTTGAGACAGGATCCCACATGTGTATTGGAGGTGCACTGGTCATAGTGGCAGGCTGGAGGCCATCCTTGCCTTCTAGAAATCTGCAGTAGGTGCTGACTGGTGGCAGATTATAAACTGCTTTGCTTATCTTCTGCATGCTAGGTGTTCACTCTCATTTCACTATCACAAACTTCAATTTAGACTGGAGCACACTTGGTGTGTTCCCTCGGGGTAGTCTACACAGTCTTTCCCTGGCAGGCTTCCATAATCATATACATGCTGCCGTGCAAAGGCACTGGCAGATGAGCCAGCCAACTCAGGCTGCAGTAAGAGCACTTTTCAGTGTTGGCACTGTGAACCCTGGTGTACAGCCTGGGTTAGGAAATGGATAGCAGGTTTGTTAACAAAGCATAATTTTCCCTTTTAGGCCTCTGATAGGCATTATAGTCACTCTGGGGTAGGTACCCTGCTGCTAGAACCTTCTCTACCCAGGACCTGGGAAGGAATCTTCTTACCAGGGAGTAGGACCACAACAAAGTACATCTTACACTAATCCCAGCCAGTCTATGTATCTCTCCACTTCATTACTAATATCATACATTATGGATTATATTTTTAAATGAAAACATCCTCAAGGTGAACTGGAATTCTGTCATCCATTCTAACATTGGACTTTCCCCTTCCTCACTGTGTTCCAGGGCTGCCCTTTCTTCTCTATGTCCCTTTCTCATGACAGCAGTGGGCCCAGGTGGCAAACAGAGGATTCACTGAGCAACTGTGGGCCAGTGAGGCACCAATTCTGATGTTCTGTTCCTGGACCTCTGAGCTTAGCTCTCCAAGCCCAACTTTCCTCTTCTGTCAGTGGGGTAGATGAGAAGGTGAGATTAAATGACACTCAGGCATTTCTATCACAGTACTTGACATGGTATTGTTATAGAGCAACCCTGATATTAAAAATCTCAGGGTCGTGGGTTCGAGCCCCACGTTGGGCGCCAAGCTGTTATAGAGCAACCCCGATATTAAACGGGTTCCTGGCTGTGGGTCCTCACCCGCGCGCTTTAAAGGGACTTATGAATACTCTACTACAGACACACGCCAAAGGGTTAATAAAAGGTTTATTTACAAGAGAAAAGGAAATAAGGAAAATGTACAACTCAGGGAGAAAATAGGGAAATAAAGTCTTTAATGCGTCCTACCCGATCCGACGACCTGGAAACCCAAAGTCACTCTCAGAGCTGGCCGGACGCTGCTAGCTGGTGGAGAGCCAAAATGGGGGAGCCCCCCAAAGCCCACGTGTCTGCCTTTTGTATCCACCTGGCTGCTTAACCCCACCCTCAGGTCCCAGCCACCTTCCCTTTGGTGGTAATGGGATTTGGAGTTCCCAGTGTCTTTGGCTTTGACCTGGGGTGGGGGTGGAGTCCACAAAGCCTATATGGAATTTGCTTTGGGACATCCTTTTCCCCCTAACAGTATGTTCTAGGAATATGATTAATTTGAACATCAAAGGGCAAAACTTGGGATGTGACTTTAATTGATTAGCAATGAGATTCTGCCGAATGGATGAAAGTAGTTAACTATGCAGTCCAAGTTGATAAACATCCCCTTTTTCATTACAGAAACATTCCTGCCTCTAAAATCTAGGAGAATAGGCCTGACAGTGCTGGCTCCTGGCATAGAAGGGAGGATCGGAGACAGAGCTGTGGGGTCAGCTTCAGTCAGTAGAGTTGGTTTATTTCAACTCAGTGGGTGCACTGTGGCTGGGTTTCTCTTCATTGTATCATTGCACTCTCATTTGGCAAAGCAAGTTCTTCATGCAGTAATTTCAACAGTTTTGAGGTTTAATTTTTTGAGACCAAAAGGCACTGCACTTCCAATTTTGGTACAAATGAAAAATTAGTTCTCAATACTTACTTGCTGCTTCCATAAATTTGGAATAGGTATCGTAGGTGATGACAGGAATGGGTAAGTCTCGGAAATATAGTTTAAGGGCTCCAGTGATGATGTTTATGTCTGGATAGATGTTGGCAGATATATCTGCCTTTTCACCATCTGAAAAACAATCAGTGATCCAATTCCTAATTAAGCCCTTATTTCACCAGGTTGAAGCATGACCAGAAGAAAAAAGAATCCGATGATGAATACTTCCTTACAAGTCTCAACAGGCTTCTTTGGTTCTTATAACACTACGATGCAGGAAGTAACAAAAGGAAGTATGGTGATAGTGATTTTGGGTCTCGGAAGATAAGTCTAGCCAAAGGTAGTGAAATGGACTTAAAATAATTCTGTGGGTCCCAGCCCCTGGTACTTTACTAAAAAGAAATTTAGCAAAATTATTTGTATTCTAGATAAAAATAAATCAGAATAGAATAACAATTTCATTTGAAAAAAAAATCATTTTGAAATACTAGTGCCACCCATATTCTTTAGATTTGAAAATCTGGTACACAAAATAAACATTGACTATCTTCAGTTTCTATGGTTTCCTTCAAGTTCACTGAAGTTTCTTTTAACTTGATTCATAGTCACAAGGAACAAAAGTCATAGTCACAAGGAACCAAAGGAGACACTTCTAAACTTCTACCTGTTTCCCCTACTTCCATGCTAGGGGAACATCCCCTTTTTCATTACAGAAACATTCCTGCCTATAAAATCTAGCAGGATAGGCCTGACAGTGCTGGCTCCCAGCACAGAAGGGAAGATGGAAGAGAGAGCTGTGGGGTCAGCTTCAGTCAGTAGAGCTGGCTTATTTCAACTCTGTAGGTGCACTGTGGCTGGGTTTCTTCTTTGGAGCTTTGGGAGAAAGGAAAGAGTCATTGGCGGGGTAGGGAAGGGAGATATAGAATCTTAGTGGCACAGAAATTCTGGCTGCCCTTTCAAGCAGCATTTTAAACTCACATCCCGATGGGGTCACTTGTGCACAGCTTTTAAGGAAACACTTCTCCAGAGAGACAGTGAGCTAGGAGATCTTTAAGTCATTATTCCTTGGCTTCTTGAAGAATAATTCTCTTTAGCTCTCAAATCCCACTCCCACTATGAATAAGACCTGTTTCCAGAAGAAAGGGTACTTAGAATAAATCACATGGCATCCAAGAAAGCACAAACTCACCTCTGTCAAATGCCATTTTGACATCTTCAATGTGCTCAGTGAATCCTGACACTCGGTAAAGGCCTTCTGACTTTAATCCTGTTAAAAAGAGACAGAGAGAGACTTTAGCTTCCTGAAATATCTAAAAAAGACTAATTTCATGTCTACATTGTGTGCTATCAGGAAATGAGCAAATATAATCAGTGCTGTTATATATTACCCACTGTCATGTCAGAACTTGGACTTGCCCACTCCAGTTTTCATGCAGATCTATTTTCATTTGCTTGTGCAGTATTGGAGAGCTAGGTAATCTGGTTTTCTTCTGCCTGGTTTTACTAAGTGAACCCAAGTTGAAGACTCTCATCAACCAGGGGCTTCTGCCTCCCTTGTTCATCGGATTGCTAGACATGATTTCATTGCTCAGACAGCAAACTGCTTTTCCCCCATTGACATCTTAATCCACATGCCCACTGTGTGTAACACTGTGCTAGAGATACAGAAATGTGCATTTATGCATCTGTGTGGTGCAAATTATGCTAATTTTACTGGAACAATTAAAATTTGCAACCTTTTATGTTTAATCATAAATGCCACAATATGTTGACTGTTTAAATAGGATTGATTCAAATAGCTGATCATACAAATGGATGCAGGAAAAGAATTTCATTGAATGAGTCTGGAAATCTGATTGCTATATATTAAGGTTAAAAAAAAATAAGGTTTCTGCTCCTCGCTCTCACTGATTTGTTAAGAAATGGCCTAAGGTTAGCTAGTCCCCAAAAGTAGCAGAAGGGCTAGAGGAACAGATTTCAGACCTGTATGTCAAATGTTAGCTGATAAAAAACTACAGCTACAGCAAAAACAAACAAGTATCTCCTGTATCTGCAGTGTACTCTGTCTCTTGCTAACTAACACAAGTTCCTGTTTTTCCATTTGGCAGACATTTATGAAATAGGTACTATCTGCCATATATAAAGGTCTGCATTATGTTTGCATTATAGACAACAGATGCATGGCCTAAATACAGCCTCTGCTCCTTCCTGTGACCATGAGACGTGTTCTTAATTGATTTTGACTCTTTCTCCTGCTGAGACCTACTCAGTCTCAGAATTTGTCTCATTGCAGGTGGCCACTAATGATCAGTTCGTCCACAAGATGAAACCCGCTGTTATCCTTGTCTAGATGGTGGTGTGTGCAAACATGTCTTGGTACACCTCTAATCTGTATGGTAGCAGTGGTGAGGACACAGCGGCACACAGCAGCACAGTGCAATGAACACTAACCCTGCCTGTTGATGGGAGAGGTTATCAGGGAAGCTCTTACTGAGGAGCTAATCTTAATTCATGAAGGATGGACTGGAGTTTGCCAGAGTAGCAGATGTTGCCAGCTCTCTTTCCATTATTTGCTTTCCCATTTTTCTGTTATAGTGGAATCTTTGAGTTTTAGAACAACACTTGTTGAATTCTGGCTGATGCAAAGCTAAAATGATGTCTACAGCATCTGGGTTGTGTTCTCGGAGAGAAAGAACATGCCTTTGCCTTTAATTTGGTTGGGATGTAGATGAGATGGTGGGGTCATGCAGATGTCATTCAAAATGACAGAGCAACAAGTTGCAGTCAGGTTTCTGCTACTGGGATGTTACTTTATCCTTGGACTGTTGCTGGACCCCTGAACTATTACTGGACTATTGATTATGCTTGGACTGTTGCTGGACAGTGAGATTTAAAAAACACATGGGACAAATAAAATGTTTAGACACAGACAGATTTCAAAGTGGGATTAGGAGAACTGGTCATGCCAAGAAACGGCAAAAAGAAATAACACAGGTTGAGTCTGTTATGTTGAGCACTGTGCTAGGTCATTGATGTGGATCAACTCATTTTAACCCTCACAACCACCTTATTAGGTACAATTGATTCCATTTACTTTATAGGTGAGGAAGTGGATATTCAATAGAATAACTTTCACAGTGTCATACCATTGCTAATGAGAAACAGGGCTGGGAATATTGAAACTTATGATCTCTTCATTATTTCATGTCACACAGAGATAAAGGGATATCAATGAACATTTGAGGAACAATAAGAACTTTGCTTTGGATGGGTGATGTAAATTTCTTCCCGCCCTTTCTCTGGTTCTGTTCAGATGTGCCGTCTCCAATACCTATAGCTCTAAACCCTTCACTGTGACTGTCCTTGCATAAATTCCTAATTTGTGCTACTGTAGCTCCTATACAAGGCATGCTGAGTGCTATGCTGCCTGTTAGACATCACACGTGGTGGTAAATTTGCTCTTACTAGCAGTTGTCTTTTATGAGGGGCAATATGGGATGATCCCGGCTTCTCCACAGAAACACACACCTATACTTGGCCCTGACTGCAGGTTCTGGAGAGGCTGACCTCAAACTGCCCTCTATACAGATGGAGTCAAGATCACGTATCCCTGCCACTCATCCAGCGTAAGGACACCCATGTTCAAATCTTACCCAGCTCTGCCCCTGTATTAATATCACCAGATCTCAATTCACCAGATCTCAAACACAGTAGTCAAAACTCAAGAGACATTTCTTAGAACCCGAGATTAAATGAACGAGAACTAAAGGGACAGAATAGCCACAGCTTACAACTTTCATGGAAAAGGAGTAATTTCCTATATCTAAAAGGCTTTGCATAACAAGTCATAATGTTCTTTTTGTTTTGTTGGCCAATGCATTAATACCTGTAGAATGTATTAAGCCAGTATGGACACAACACTGGAGATACAGTACCAAGGTCAGCAGATACCTACACAGCAAAAATGGTTAAAGCCTCTGGGCTTTATGCATGTCCTGATTATCCACATTACAGCCAACAATACAGGTTCTCCTCAACCAGACTCAAGTCAGTAGCTCACTGAACATTTGATACTGAAGAATGGCCAAAGTATAAATAAAGGAAAGATCATTCAAGTAAAATATAAAGAACCTATTCCTTAAAAAGTTTCTATCTTCCTTGCAGCCTTGGTTTTTCACTGTATAGGTATTTTTAATCTTTTAACTTCTCTTTGAGATAAACAAAAATGATACTAAGTGTGAATTTCTAATTGGCAGGTAATACATGTGATCAACTTCTTATTTAATAGGAACATGTGTTAAGACTCAATTCAAACCTCACCTGTGTCATAAAACCTTTCTGAATTGTTCTCAAATGATTTTTAAAGCTTTATAAACCAGTGACAAATCATATTAGAAATATATGGTCTTATGTGGAAAAATAAGTCTTCCTCCATGACTTCCACAGTGCTTTAATATATCTGTGCACATTTATTTGCCCCCCTGACTCTGTACACGACAGTGTGAATTTCTTAAAGGTGAATTCTGAAATTTTAGATCCTCAGTGAGTAGCTCATTATAAAGGCTTAGCAAACATGTGTTGAATGCATCACATACATGGTTTATGTAGGAAATAGAAATTGATATGCTTGATCAGGTTGTTTGTTGGTGTACAGGTCATTTCCCAACAACAGTGGAGAGTCAATTTGACAATTATAAAGCTTCCTTGAAAATAGTAACAATAAAATGCAACAATATAATAAGGAGTCTTTCACAAACCTCTTGCTTCAATTTCCCTTATGCATATGTCCACCACCATGGGTCTCTGTGTGTTGTGAGCCTTCACCAGTGTTGTGAGGTCACAACAGTACACTTTTTTGATCCTCTTGAGATCAGGCTGGCAATCGTTGGGAACATGCTTGGAACATTGTTTGTGTACATTCAATCCACAGTCTGTAAACAAGAAAGCCACATTAGCCTTGCCTGGCCCTTTTGACAAAGTCAGACACAAATTATTTGTCACCAAAAAAAAAGAAAGAAAAGAAAACACCCAAGGGTTTGCTGTAATTTCAAGACACTTCCATTCCATAATTCCACCAGAGGTGATGCCACAAGATGTGTATGAAATCCATTTTTACTCAGTAAACTCTTACATAAGTCCACTGTTTTCATTACACCTTCTCTGTTGCTAGACCATAAGAACATCTCACAAGAGCTAGTTCAGGTAATTAGCTAGGTGTTTTGTATATTGCTTTCCCTTTTTTGGAAACCTCTGGGTCCTCATGTTGGCTTTTAGGTTTGGATGCCCAGAGTTAGCTGTGGTTCAAAAGGGCACCTAGGACTCTGCTAGTGGTTTCTCTGAAGCTGTTGATAGTCCTTTTGTGGGAGACATTCCTCTCTCTACAGTAATCTTGAATTTTTTGCTCAGAGGGACCCAAGACCATATTCTTTCCCTTTCCTGGATGGTTGCCCAGTTTCCACTCCCCTCATTCTTGCTGGGCAGCACGAACAGGACATTTTTCTTTTAGCTTACCTTATTTAGACACCTATGAGTGGAAATAATATCTAACTGGACACCAGAGGGAATACCTGAGAGTTTACTCATCTTCCAAAACTGAATTTATAATAATATCCTGTAATGGGAGGATTAGAGTAATTATTTATAAAGCTCATATCAAGATCCAAGCTGAAAAGGTGCTTTTAAGTTCAATGAACACACTAAAAGCCTTGTTAGCAGGTGGTATCCACTGATGGAATTTCTCTAACAATAACAGAGCATCATAGCCTATATTCTGGAAAGTGAAAATTTAATGCTGAAGTTGTTCAAAGTTGATATACTACCTACTTAACAAGGTACCTTCTAATATTTGTTTTTCTAGGTTTAAAGAACAACATTGTCTGTGTATGTGTGTGTGGGTGCGCGTGCGTGTGTATTATAGTTAGCTGCTTTATAAAAAAAAAAAAAAACTATACCAAAGATTAGAGGGATCTAAACTTTTGTAAAATAAAATTTTGTAAATCATCAAAAATAATGATTGTAGATGATTTTCTGAATCTCATATAATGTCAGTTGACTAAGTTATCTCAGCAATTCCATTCAAGGTATCTACCCAAAGAACACAAAAACATCAATTTAGGAAACCTGCAATTCTATGTTCCGTGCAGCTCTGTTTACAATAGCCAAGATATGGAACAACCTAAGTGCCCAAACACAGATGTGGCAAGATCAAGAAGGTGTGGCATACATACACAATGACATACTACTTAGTGATCAAAAAAGATAAACTCATGCCATTTCCAGCAACATGGATGGAGCTGGAAGGGATTATGCTCAGTGAAATAAGCCAGAAGGAGAAAGATAAATACCACATAGTGTCACTTGTATGTGGAAAATAGAGAAACCAAACAAAGGAGCAGACAAAGGCAAACATTGAAATCAACCCTTGAAAGCTGACCACAGATCTGAAGCATCCAGAAGGCGGGGAATGAGAATAGAGGGGTTGGGGGAGCACAGTGGACTATGGTGGAGGACTACAGGTGCTTCAGTGGTAGGAAAGCTACCTGAGAGGGGAACTTTATACTGTCAAAACACTAGCAAGGAAATAAAGCAACGGCACTTCAATAAAAATGTTTTTAAAATTTAAAAATAGAAGAACATGAAAAAAAAACCTTTCATAAAAAAATCTGCTCAAGTGCCTGCTGTCAATCCCTCTAGTTATATACCAAGAGTGAAATGCTGGATCATATAACAATTTCATTTTTAATTTCCTTATAAATTTTATTTTAAGATCTGAAGGAACAATGTTTACATAGAGTTAAATATTGATATTTTATTAAAATGAAGATTTTTAATGACAAAAATATTCAGTTTCTGCAACTAATGCAGTAAATTAAATTATTAATTCCAGGTTAAAAAGTATAAGTATTAAAAAGTATTTAAAAGTATTTATTATAAATTCCAGGTTAAAAAGTATTTAAAATATGGGGCCTCCCTGATGGCACAGGGGTTAAAGACAGCACTATCAAGCTATTGCCAGCCACTGCAGCATGAGTTTGGTCCCTGGCCGGGCAGGAGCATTCTATATGGCACAGCAGACCTCTCCTGCCCTGACCGCTGCTCCCCTCAGCAGTGTATTTCAGTAGATCTGCCTGTTCTGCTCCCCACTCTCTCTGGTGAATCCTCTCACCTCCTGCACCTCTGGCTTCCACCCCAGTTCTTGTATGCATAAATAAATAAATCTTCAAAAAAATATTTAAAATATGTAACCAAAAGGCAATGATGGATCTTCCTATCCTTTAATGGTTAGTTTCAGGTCTTCCTACTGCTCAGAGAAAACACAAGGATAAATAGTGGCCATTAGAGAATACTAACATTATAGCCTTCGCGTAAGTTTATTTAAAAAAAAAAAAACAAGAAAAAATCCTTTTATCCCAGTGAAAGCTGCTATTCCCAGCCAATATGAATCCGAGTTCTCATAATATTGACTTTGGACAATTTCCTGCTGAAATTGGATAATATCAACAATTTGGGATGTTTGTGGTAGGTATAATCTGGACAGGCTGAATGAATGACCCCTGAGTAATTCAAATATTCTAGCTCTTTACTCAGCAGTTGAACTGAGATTCTTTGTAACTTGGTCTTTTTGGTTCATCAGGGTGTCAGGAACATTTCTAGAGAGGCTGCTCTGAGCCTATGATTACCACTTGTTTCGGGGATCTGGGTTGAGGGCAGGCAGAGTCTAGGCTTACCGGAGAACTAGTAGACCCACCCAGGTATGGTGACTACTGACTGCTGTAGCTACACAGTAGAAGCTAAGAAAGCCTGGTCTGAGCAGAGAAAGGATTAAAGTATCATAATCTTGTGAACTAAAATGGGCAGTAAGAGGAACTAGGTCATCATATTGTAGTACCACTAACCTATTTTATTTTAAATGTTGTATAAGAATTAACACAAATCATCTCCTAGCAAGGAAGAAATCAGTCATGGATCTGGTAGAAACCCAATCAATCACACAGGAGGTTGTTCTTTTTCCCAGCCATAGCTACTTGCCAGAAAAAGTGTGGCAAGATGAATCTGGAAGCCTGGTTACACATTAATTTGGCAACTCTGTTACTTTGTTAGATGTATCATAATAAGATGTGCCGTGCGTTGTCAGCAATAGATAAATGCCTCCCGTTTCAGATAGAAAAACACCTAGTGTTGTAAAGTGTTTTGAAGAGATGCAGGTGTGCAGTTTTATGACTAATCTGATGGCAGAAAATACTGAGCATGGGGTCGGAGTCAAGTCGATGTTCTACCACTTCCTATTTGGCCAAAGGCAATTAACAATGAGCCTTAAGCCTCAGTTTCCTCACCTGTTTAATGGGGAGAATAATTACATCTGCTCCAAAGGTTGGTCAAGTTAAAAGCCACAATGAATAGAAAGTACTTAGCTCACTGCCTGCTATGTCGTACATGCTCACCATTGTTTTCATTTTGATGTCTTCCTGTCTGTCATAAAGTGGGGATGAGAAAGAAGTGTGGCTTTTCTATTCTATGCAATTGCACTGGAATTTATCTCTTGTAGGGACTATTGCCTATTTTGGGGAGACAGGCAGGTGCCTAAGGAAATGCACTTGCTTGGATTTTTTTTCTTTCCTTGCATAAACATGAGATATTCCTTCATTCTCGCAAACAATCACTCCATGAAGCATAGAGATGTGGTGAACTTTCCTGAAAGCTAATCTGGGCCTATACCCCAGCTCTAGAGAGATTGCCTTGAGTTCAGCATGAAATGGGAAAGTACAAAAAACGTTCTATACCTACCTGAGCACCGGACCCCTTGAGCGATGAGTCCCCACATGAAGTTGGCGCAGTATTCGCACCAATGCGGGCCTCGGAATGTGTGGACCTGTGATCCAGAGAGAAGAAAAATGTCAGAAAATTTAGAGGCAGGTGACTCAGACATGAAACAAATAGAGGAAATCAAGAAACAATGGCTGAGTGAGAGTGGGCATTCCTCAACAGGACTTTTCTTTCCACTGAGTGGGATTTGCAAATAGACCTGAAGAAAATGTACTTTGATCTTCACAAATCCTCCACCAAGCTTCCATTCCCTAGGCCTGAGTCAGAAAGGTATGTGGAGAAACAGTAAGATTACAGGGCCTTGTAGTCAGCTCAGGAATGAGCCTCTCACCCCTCAAAACAAGTCACTATATGGACAAAACTAAGGTAACCCAGGGCCACAACTAGCATTTAGCTCAGCGAGCTCTGAGAGGCAGAACTCAATTCCACTGTCCTTTTGACAAACAAGCCCCATCTGTGGATCCAGGCAGTTATAAATAAGACATGATTATGGGATAATTAAAAGGTTCCAAAGCTTGCAGCCACTTCCAAAAAAAAAAAATTTTTTTTTTTTTTTAAAAAGCAAGAGTTGGTTGAAAGTGCAGATGGCCAATAAGTTCCAGCCGAGTGCCTTCCCCAGAGACAGGCCCATATTTAGCAGGCCGTGCGTGGTCTATGTGTGTGTAAATGGAAAGACCTTTCTGGCTGGCCCAGGTGCCAGTCTTCTTGGTGCCCCCTCAAGTAATTTAACAGATTAAATATCAAGAATAGGATCATCTTACGTCTAATTACTCAGGGACAAGTCCTCCTGTGTTAGGGCATGTATTAAATAAAGCATGATTTAAAGCAAAAGCAAAATAAAACAAAAATATATATTCTCTAGCTTTAATAAGCTTCAAGATGTAGAGTTAGGGGACTCCTTGGAAGCAAATAAAAACCACTTCAGACAGTCTATTTGGGGACTACATTAAAAAGGTTATGAATTTTTACAAAATTGAATGATGAGGCATTATATAGGATTTCTAAAGCTTTAATACTCCATTAATAAATAAAAGATATGCACACATTGTTATTTTTCTAAAAACAGGTTGTATACTATTTATGTTTAACAAAAATATTAGGATGACAAGTATGGTCACAGCTTGGGAAAATGCTCACCAGAGTTCCATTTAAGAGCAAAGAGCACTGTCTAAGATTTGTCTTTATTATATGTATTTATTCACACCTGCTAGCAACTGAGCATACATAGAGTGCCAAGCAAACAGACCTAGTTCCCTCCTAATAAAACTCACAGACTTATAATGTGGAGAAAGTAAGCAAATCAAAAGGAGCACTGTGACCATGCATAAAATTAAGTTTTAATAGTTTTTTTGTATTCCAGTTTATCATGTGCAAGCTGCCCATTATTCTTTCTGCTTTGAGAACAATAAGGAAGACATTCAGAATTGTTTTTACCAATTCCTTGTTGAGCTGCAAGGAAATGCCACTAGGTTGTGACGAAGCAGTCCTTGTTGGGGGTGGGGCAGAGACCTATCCAGGGAAGCACTTGTATACTCATGGGCTCAAATGCCATGATTCATTCTAAGGCCCACTCATATTAAACTTGATACTCAAAGAATTCCTCAATAAAGTTTCCTATGAAAAGTTGAACATTTTCTAAATTTAGTAATCAAAGGTTTCTTAATATTTTACTAGAAATGTGCTAAAGGGACTGCTGGTTATCTATGATACTAATGTTGATTGTTAATATGCTGCTGAAAGTGCAAGGTCATTAAAAATAAATACGTAGCATAACACTACTGCAAGGGAAAAAAAGAGGCCTGGAAGGGGCTATAAAATAAAAAATATGGCTGTCACCAGGGAGATTGATGAGGGGCCCAATGTCACCCCCAAGTGGTCAGGAAGTCCTCTCTTGGAAGGTGAACTCAAGACACTTGAAGGGGGAACAGGAGCCAGTCCTACTGGGGAGAGGAAGGCAGAGGAATCTATAAAGGTTCTGAAGGAGCAAAAGAACTTGGTCTGACTGGGGAACCAGCAGCCAGGGAAGCCAGAACTCCAGGAGTGAGGTGGCTGGGGGAAAGTGTTGAAGTTAGGAAAGACTTTGAAGGCTCTATTATGAATATGAATTTCATTATAATCTAGGTCTAATAGGAAGTTCTTGAAGAACTTTAAAAAAGTAGGATGAAGATTAAAAAAAAAGATATTCACAGGTACTCTGACTACTGTGTTGAAAGTGGGTATGAGTGTTTCAGTAGTGGTAAATATTCAGAAAGTAGCTAGCAGTGTTCTTCTAGTTGAGAAATGACTGAGGCCCAGTGCAGGATGCTGACTGACAGTGAAGATGGGAATTGACAGTGTGAGATATATTTTGGAGACAGAAAATATAGGGCTTGATAATAAAATAAATGTCAAGTCTTTGAGGGAAGCAGAACCAGGAATGACTCCTAGATGCCAGTTTTAGAAATCAAGTTGATGTTGATGCCATTTGCTGACATAGAAAAGACACTCGTTTTTAGAGAAGTCCAAGAATTAATATTTCCCCAAATTAGACAGTTATGTAGACAAGTGACAAATTAATAAAATTTAATAAGATAAAAAGAACTCAGCTTTGTATGGCTTAAGGTTAAATGCTGCTAAGAGTCCAAGTGTTCATGTCAAACAGGAATTCACAGATAATTCAATAGATTAGAGGGGTGGGGTTGGGGTGTACATTTGGTCATCTCATACATAAATGGTATTTACAATTGTGGGTGTGGATAAAATCTATGAGTGATAGTGAGTAGAAAATAAAGAGAATAGAGCCCAATTCTGAACAATCTCCAACATTTAGAGAGAACCAAGAGAGAAAAAAAATTCAGCAGCCTAATAAGAAGTCTTATTTTAGGGAAGGAATGGACAAACACTGAATGCTGCGCATTGGAAGACCATGGAACTCATTAGCAATATTGACAAGAGCAAGGGCAGGATTAGCAAGGGCAGGTCATACTCAAGGAACTGAAGGAATAAATGGGATGAATGGAAGTAGAGAACCGTGTAGGCAGCTTCATTAGGAAATCCCATTCCGTTGTGCATAGCAGAGAAAGAAGGTAGCTCAGGGGAGATAAGGAATCAAGGGAAGAATTTTGTTTTAAATATGAAAGATAGTAGGGCATGTTGAATTGTCAGTGGGATTGTTGTAATACATGAAAGAGACTGGCAATGCAGAAGAGAGAGAAGTAAGAAAGTGATGACATTGAGAAGCTGGCAGATGATGGGGTTTAGAGTATATATTCAAAAAAGAAACTAGTTGAGATTTTTCCAGAAGTAGTAAAAGGCAGAAAAGAAAAGCTAAATGAATCTCAAAAAAGATAAATAAAAAATAATCTATGTTATTTAGGTTATAGTAAAACTGCAGAATCCCAGAAGATAAGCAAAACCCTAAAAACCAGGTTACCTCCAAAAGAACAATTAGGGCAAAAGCAGACTTCTCAGAGAAGGAAACTAGTACATGATGGACAAATTCATCAAAATTCTCAGAGAAAATTACTGCCAACCTGACTTCTATTACCAGCTAGTAAACATTCAAGAGTAAGAGTGAAGATCTTTCAAACAAATGGTAAGAGTTTCCACTTACAGATCCTCACTCCAAGAAATAGGAAGGGATATTATACTTTTGCACGAAGCAAAATGAACCTAGTGGGTTAGGACAGGATTCAAGAAACTATGGTGAGAGTGAAATTAGGAAACATGGGTCACGCTAGTCAAGCCCTGCATGTAAATAACAATAGCAACAAGAGATGACTAATTTCAGGGAACTCAAAAACAGGGTAAAAAATGACATGGAAGAATAGAGAGGCTTAAAAGAATTATAAAGCATCCTAAGGTACTTATAATTAGGGGGAGGTAAATAAAGTAATTAACTGGAGAAAATTTTAAGTCAATTTTGCATGTATTATTGTGTTCAGTGTACACAGAGTGGAATGGAATTCATAAACTTAAAAAATGCGTAAGAGAAATAAAGATTTGATCAAGTCAAATAAAAAGTAGAAAAGGAGAAAAACAAGACAATAAAAACCCATTGTAAAGAGGGAAAAAGAATAAACATCCTTTTATATTTCTAATTATAAATAAACACATGACTAGCTCATCAAAGAAAAGACAGTTTTCAGGTATTTTAAAAACTTTTGCAAGAAAAATTTAAACATAATGTGATAGAAATTGCTGAAATTAAAAGTACAGGAAAAAGATATAGTCAGTAAGTGCTAGCCAACAGATATCCAAAACAGATGTATTGATATTGGGCCTCCCCTGGTGGTGCAGCAGTTGAGCGCTGGGCTGCAAAGCTGCCCGCAGCCTCTGCAGTGCCGGTTCGATCACCGGCGAGGGTCCCACGTGGCATGCGGACCTTTCCTGCCGTGCCCGCTGTTCCCCTCAGCAGTGTATTTCATCTGTCTGCCTGTTCTGTTCCCTGCTCTGGCTCTGGTGAATTCTCCTCCCACACTTCTGACTATACCCAGTGTTTATATAAATAAATAAATATTTTTTTTTTTTTAAAAAAAGATGTACTGATATAAAATGTTTACATTATTGGTAATAATGAGTCATTATATAATAATTAGGGATTTAATTTTACCATAAAGAAATAAGAATTCTGAGCTTAATATGTACATGATAACATGATCTTAAAAATACAAAGCAAAAATGAAAAGTTATAAGGAAAAATGAACAAATCTATAATAACAAATATTTTAATGTCCATTCACAGGAAATAATAGATCAAATATATATTATTATATATTTAATATGCTGAATGTAAAAGATCTCTCATACCAAGAAATTTAAAGAGTACAAACTCTTTAAAAAAAATGGAACATTTACACAATCTGACCATAGATCAAACTTCAACATATAAAAAGGAATCATTACTATAGAGATCATATTCTGACTACAAAGCAATAACATTAAAAATAAATAACAGTCAAGTCCCAGAATGTTTGGAAATTTAAAATTATGCTTTAAATACAGCTAAGAGGAAATCTTGGTAATTTTTTTAGAAAGACAAAACATTTCGGATTGAAAAAGAAAATT